CACATCACTGAAGCTCTGAGGACCTCACCGAGTGTGGGGTTCCAGGTGTAGAACCAGGCTTGCATCTAGTTGGGACGTGTGATAGCTTGTTTCAAATGCAGTATGGTGATATGTGTCTTAATCCCACCCCACACTTAGGAGGCAGAGGCAGGGAGATCAGTTCAACCTTCTCCTTGGCTACATAGTAGCCTCATGTTCCTGTTTCAAAACACACACACACACACACACACACACACACACGCAAATTCATAGCTTGTTAGCATGTGGGGTATCTGCCCCCCTAAACAACTCCTTTACTCTGTACTATGAAATATTATCCTGGAAATCTCATTTATTTTTCCATCTCTTTGCTACCCAGGAATGTGGTTCTGATGGCACTGTGGCCTCACTGAGCTCCTGAGGTGTTGTGGATTCTCTGATTGCACTGGCCCTGAGCTCCCACCGCTCCACTGAGAGTGGGATTTACTAAGGAGAGGGTGAACATGAGGTCAGTAGAGACTAGAGGAGAGGTGTACCCACATAGAGGGGCTCATGGTGCCCATCGCCCAGTCTGTGCCAAGAACTATCCAGTGGCAGAGGTGCGTGAGCAGACCAATCTTGGCATCAGTCTCATCCTGGAGACATAATGAGCCGGGTTCCACATACGAGGCTGTGGGGCTCACCAGGAAGTACAGTCCCTTGATCAGGTTCAACACAGCCAAGAACGAGGGAGCTCAGGGTTCCTACTGTCCCTTCCTAGAAGCAGGGTGGTCGCAGGGAATTTGGTCTGGACAAGTAGCAAGGTGGAAGACACAGGCTCACAGCAAGGTTCTTTGGCCTGAATTGCAGTGAGTGTGTTACTTAAGTAGCCAAGATTACTTTCCCCCATAGGACTCATTAGTCACGCCCAGGGGCTCCATATGGCTGGGACAGGCAGAGCAAGGGATGCAATCCCATAAAAGCAGACATGCTAGGCCTCCACAGCAACCTTCAGGAAGACTCCCCTTGGATCAGCTGGCCGAGTAGGGCCTCTCAGCATTGGCCTCTGCTGACCTCAGAAACAGCCCCTGGGAAAGGCACTTCCCACTCACAAGCCCAGACACAGCTCTTCCCCAGGATCTATGGTCTTAGAACAAAAAGGTACCTGGCCCCAGGAGCCTCCCACCTTTACCGCCCACCCCTCTGAGCCCTTGGAAGACACTGTGCCTTACTCAGGACAGTCAGTAGGCCGTGTCCTTCCACCCCCACACTCTCTCTGTTCCCAATCCCTGGGTCACGACCCAGGAACAGGAGAAAGTCATGCTGGGGCAGGACATTTGAGACATATAAAAGGCCTCTGAAGTTCTGGCCAGAGACCCTTTGCTGTGTCGCTTTGCTCCTTCCCAGGACTATGGTAATGTCCGGTGGCCCCAGAACCGTGTGTGTGTGTGTGTGTGTGTGTGTGTGTGTGTGTGTGTGTGTGTGTGACTGGGGATGGAGGGAATTACTGGGCTGGCACTCCAGTGTGCAACTATGTTACTCATTTAATGTGTTAAACGCCAGGCCCAGATCTCAGTGGCAGGCAGTACTACATCAGAGAAAGTAGGTAAAGAGCCCACCTGCAGTGTAGTGGGAGGAGGTGGGGCTGGGAAGAGGTTCAGCCGATAGCTACAAATTACTACAGAACGCAGCAAGAGTGGCCATGGCAGCCACAGGACAGGTAAGAGTGGGTGGCAATTTTATATAGGGTGTCAGGGCTAGACCTATTGGAGTGTCGATCTGATGCTTGAAGTTGAGCTGGCCCTGCAGACATCTGGAGGACCAGGCTTCCAGGCAGACAACAGCATGTCTAGGGTTTCTGAGGACCACCTAAGGAGGTGGGAAAGGCTGGAGTGGGGAGCTCGAGGAGGAATTTGCCGCAGAAGTCTGTAAGGTCAGGGACCTGACCGGCAACTCTAAATCATGTATCCTTGTCAGACCAGGGCTCCTGTCCATTTTTGCCTCAGTACTTTGGGGTTACTGAGTGCGCATCCAGGCGTGCCCTATTCTCCCTGGGAACCAGGATTCCCTAGAAGCTCTGTGTATACCACGGGCAGCTACATTTCCTGGTCCAAGCTTCGCCACACTCCCGGCTTTCCCAACAAACGGAGTGTGGCCCCGAGATTCAGTGCGGACACAACCAGGTCCCACCGCTACCCCACCCCACCTCACCTTCCTTCCCAGGGTCACCTGACCGTGCTATCTGCACTGCCCCCCCCAGACCGTGTCTCTACCTTGCGCGTGCGCACTGGCTCTGGGATGCCTAGCGGCACTCCTGGTGCCACCTGATGGCGCCCTGGGCAAGGAGGTCCAACTGCAGCAGTCTCCCGAGCCCAGAGTGGCCAGATGGTTCACAAATATCAACAAGTACATGGAGAAGCTCTTCAACAACAGGTGAGCTGGCGGAGGAGTGGGGGAAGGAGGACCTAGCACCCCACTCACTTCTCGGCTCCCATGATCTCTGCAATGACGTGTTTCCTAGATCGAAGAACCCCCCAAAACACAAGAAACCCTCCAACTCTACCAACTCTGCCCTATCGAGCGTCACAGTCCATCCTCACTTGAACATCACGAACTCCACCACCGTAAAACACCAGCCAACCCCGAGTACTGGAAGAACCACTGGGGCTCCAGCTCTGAGCCTCCTCCCTTGACTCCAGGTAGGCAGGTGCAACCAGCAGAGGCAGGCGGGTAGGAGAGAGAGGGAAACTTTCTCCTGGGAATGGGGACATGAAAGGGGTACGCCAGGGCCAGGGGGTGTTCCTCTCCAGCCTGGACCTTGACCTCCAGAGGCCTGGCCGGGATCTGGCTACCCACGGACCAGTGATGGTGAGATGGACTTCTGTTCCTCCCTGCCCACGCAGCACGGACAATAAAGAACATAGTGGGACTGACAAGATGTCTCAGGGGTAAAGGCACTTGCCACTAAGCCTGTCGGCCAGAGTTCCATTCCCGATCCCATAGGATGGAAGAAAGGATACATGTACCATGGCTTGTGTGGACACATACATCATACAAACCACAATAACAACAAAGGAATGGATAAATAAATAAATTCCTAAAATGACTATTGCTTCCGTGGTTTCTGTGGACACCGGCAGGAAGGGCCCGTACTTCCGTGGGGAAGGGGACCCTGTAATGCCTCCCGTGAGATAAACAGGCCTCAGTCTAGGTTTGTCTGCATCGCTCTGCAACCCACCCACTCACCCTCCACCACTGCACCGCAGCCACCTCTCCCAGGGTTCCAGCTGTGACTCTGAGAGAGAGGAGATAAAAAGAATTGGTCCTAGCAACTTCAAAATGGGGCCTTCAGCCAGACCTGCTCCTTGCCAAGGGTCACCCCACATCAGGACATGTTGGGAGGCTAGTCTGGCCTGTGAGGGTAGTACAAAAACACAGAGGGGTGTAGAGTCTGCAGGACCTCGCCCCTCCTGAACCTGGTAGAGCCAGTTGCTGCAGCCGGACCACCAGAGGGTTCTGGTCACGGGCACACAGCCCTTCTCAAACCATTCATCTTCCAAACCCAGGTGTGTGTGGAACAGGTTCTGAATTTCTGCCTCTATGACTGTTTATCTTTTCTGGTAGAACCCATGTCAGGCTGGAGAGATGGCTCGGGGTTTAAGAGCACTGGCTTCTCTTCCAGAGACTCCAGAGAGTCCAAGCACATGCGTGGTGTCTCACAACCATCTGAAACTCTAGTTCCGGGATAGCTGAAGTCCTCCTCTGGCCTCCAAAGGCTCCAGGCACACATGTGATGAGCAGACACTCCTGCAGGCAAAGCACCCACACATAGAATAGAACTAGAAGTCATCACATAAGCTACCAAAGAAGGTATTGGAACTTCAGGCTCCAGCAGCTGCATTTAAACCCTGTTCTCCTGCAGAAGCCTCCCTATCCCCTAGCTAGACACTCTTTGGATTTAAGAATCAACTTGAGCCAGGCATTTGCAGCATAGCTGCATCCTGTACAAGCTTTGGCCCTTTAGGGCAGGTTCTGCCTCCAGGTCCCTCAACACAGAACATATAGAAACACAGTTACAATGTCGGTGCTATGGGATTAATGCCAAACACTGAGACTGGGAAAGAGAACTTTCATTCCCCAAGCCTATCACCCCAACCCTTCAGACCCAGCCTGTGGAAAAGAGGGGAGAAACTATTCTGGGAATGTCTCATGTCTTCCCTTCCCTATGATATGTCCCTATCCACAAAAGCTCCCAGGAAGCACACACACACACACACACACACACACACTTTGCATAAACACATACACACCACCACCACCACACCATCTTCACCTTTTTTAGGATGCTTGGTACAGGTAAACAGTCTACAGGTAGTATCTGGGTCTTCCCTCCTTGCCCCAAGAACCAAAATGTGGATGCCACAGGTTGGACCCATAGAGGCGGTCAGCATGCTTGACTCTGTCTCCACTCTGGGGACACAACCCCCTACAGCTTTTCTCCCAGTAGTAACTAGAATTCATTCTCAGGCTATGAGCTCATGACCTCTCAAGACAGCCCCTTCCCTCCAGATCCCTAAAGAACAGTTCAAAGCAGGCAACCGAATGGCTTCCAGCCTGCACTAGTCCTCAGGGGCTGCTCCTTCCCCGTGCCAAGGGCATTTTAATAGAAATGATTCTTCCCCCAGTGCCCAAGTTATAGGAAGCAGTCTTGAGGGTACACGTGGGGACAGGGTTGGCCTCGGGCTGAAGAGCTGGATGGTTTAGAGGTGCGGGGATAGGAGGATTAAGCTCAAGACTGCCATGTCACAGACCTGCAAGGGAGTCTTGCGTCTCTCCGGACCACAACTTGCCCCTCTGTGAAAATGACGAGCTGAGCCCCTACAAACACTCATGATCATCCTAGCTCCTCTTTCTCCCTCAGCCTCCCTGCCTGTAGATTTCACCTTCTCCTGCCGCTGTGGGTGTACACACCACACACACACACACACCAAAGACACACCGCACAGAGAGGATGTGATTTTTAATTTGCTTTATTTAGTTTGAAAGGTAGCAAGTTGTTGTGGGAGTGCAGAGGGACGAGCTGAACCGGTACTGTCCTACACTCACAGACAGGAAACAAGCGGGGGCCCTACAGGTCTGTTGGGCTCAGCTCCCTGCAAGGAAAGAAATGAACAGTGAGGAAGGACAGCCCTTGTCCTCTGAGACCCTGGTTTCCTTCCCCCTCCTCCAGATGCCCACTTTCCAGACCTGCCTTTAGCTCCAGGGAGCTGAACAGGGAGTCAAACCAACCAGGGGGCTGGAGCACAGGGGAAGCTGCATCCCAGGAAGTCCAGCTGTGTTCACCTCTTCCCTCTTCCCATACCTGGTAAGGAGGACAGCTGGGATAAGCGTGGTACCCTGGTGGCTTGTAGCCCCTCTTTAGACACTGTCCTGCCTGCAGCACAAGGACCCAAGCACTTGGTAGAAATACTGTTTTCTCAGAGAAAGCATAGAAGGGACTGAGGCCAGGGCTCGCTCGCTCTCTCTCTCTCTCTCTCTCTCTCTCTCTCTCTCTCTCTCTCTCTCTCACACACACACAC